CTCCTGGGGGGACGAAAAGTAACCCTCCAGAGACAAAGCTCTTGGGCCTAGGACCCGGCGGCCGCTGCTCCTGCATTGCCCACCTGAGGGAGTGTCGCTGGCCAGAGAAGGGGCCTCCGCGGGCCTCATGGGGAGGCTGAGCTGGGAGGCACAGTTCACACAGTCGGGCTTCTCTCCAGGCTGACGCCCACAGGGCAGGTGACCCTGCTCCTACAACTGAAGGGAACGTGGGCCCTCTGGCCCTGTGCTCTGCCCTGACCTAGCCTGACCCATGCACACCCCAGTGTCCTGGGTTCTCAGGGAGGGGCCCAGCAGCCCCCCCGCCGTCCTTGGGCACTCACGTTGGGCGAAGGCTCCAGCATGTTGTCCCCGTGCCAGCCTGAGATGGGCACAAAGGGCACAGTGGCTGGGTTGTAGCCGATCTTCTTGATGTAGGCGCTGACCTCCTTGACGATCTCGTCGTAGCGCTTCTCACTGTAGGCGGGCTCTGTGGAGTCCATCTTGTTGACCCCCACGATGAGCTGCTTCACACCCAGCGTGTAGGCCAGCAGCGCGTGCTCGCGGGTCTGCCCGTTCTTGGAGATGCCCGCCTCAAACTCGCCCACTCCAGCCGCCACGATCAGGACTGCACAGTCCGCCTGTCCAGCAGGTCCATCACAGTGAGCCCCAGGCACCCCGTGTCCGGCAGGTCCGTCACAGTGGGCCCCAGGCACCCCGTGTCCGGCAGGTCCGTCACAGTGGGCCCCAGGCACCCCCTGTCCGGCAGGTCCGTCACAGTGGGCCCAGGCACCCCCTGTCCGGCAGGTCCGTCACAGTGGGCCCCAGGCCCAGGCACCCCCTGTCCGGCAGGTCCGTCAGTGAGCCCCAGGAACCCCCCGCCCCAGGCAGCCGCCCGGGCATGGGCTCCTCCATCTGTGTGAGCGGCCTGGCGATGTCTGACTGTCTGGGTCTGTCTGTCTGTCTGCAACCGTGGCCCTCATGGGCACCCCTGCCTGGCTGAGATGTTGGGGCACCCAATCAGTTCTCTGGGGGACTCCGTACCAGGTGGGGCGAGGGGTAGCAAACGTGAGGGCATCATGCCCTGGCCAGGAAGTGGAGGGAACCCGACTGCCCCTCAGGGACCCCGGGGCCCCCCCTGCGGCCGCCTGCAGCTCCGCCCACCTGGGAGGTGCCGGTGATCATGTTCTTGATGAAGTCGCGGTGGCCGGGGGCATCAATGATGGTGATGTAGTACTTGGTGGTCTCAAACTTCCAGAGGGAGATGTCGATGGTGATGCCGCGCTCCCGCTCGGCCTTCAGTTTGTCCAGCACCCAGGCATACTTGAAGGAGCCCTTCCCCATCTGGAGGGACCCGGGACTCAGCCAGCTGGCCAGCAGGTCCCCCAGGGCCATGGGAGCAGGTCACAGCAGAGAGGCCCCCATAGGACCCTAGGACCCTGAGCCCATCTCTGGGATGAGGGAGCCACATGCGAGCACCTCTGAGGGACACCCAGACCTCACCCTGCCCTGCCCAGGCCCGGCCACCCTGTGTCCCCAGGTCCCGCCTCCTGCCACCTAGATGGTTGCCGTTTGAACGTCGGCCAGTAGGTGGCGCAAGGGCCTGGGAGTCAGGCGTGGAGAGAAGCCACCAGCCGACTGAAACCCCTCCCCTGGCTGAGGGCTCCCCTTTATCTGAAGCTGGCCACCCCAACGCCCACAGACCCTGCATCAGCCAGAGGCCTACAACACCACTGTCAAGGTGTCCAGCCAAAAAAAATAACCTTCTGATTTTTTTTAAGGAAATTAGATGAGGTTGCACGGAAGGGCCTAGCTTTCCATCCCTTTCTACAGACAGCCAAGGCTTCCAAATAGCTTCGAGGCTCCTCCCCCTATCTGTGCTCCACCTGCAAATACCTGTGCCCCACCCAGCGAGACCCCGTGCCCTGGGCCAGAGCTGCCCTTAGAGTGGCGGCCGAGGTTGCTGCCCAGCCGGGCAGATCCCCCTGCGGGGCTGTGCTTGGACAGCGCTCTGCCCTCCAGGGAGGCTGCCCAGCCAGGAGGGCCACCCAGACAGGCCCCAGATGGGACCCAGCTAGACCTGAACCAGACATCCTGCAAACACCCACAGCTTCCCCCCAGCGCCACCCCGCAGGGAAGGAGGGAGTGACGCAGCTTTTGGGCTCAGGCGCGGAGGGAGACAGCCCAGCGCAACCCGCAACACCCTCCCACACACACACACTCTGAGCAGGGTCAGCACAGGCCAGCAACTGACTCCTCCTGGGCCCTGACCCTGACCCCTCTGTCATCCAGGACGGAACCCTCAGTCACCCAGACAGGGACTTCTCCCGGAGCCCAGGGTGGGGGTAGAGGTTGCAAAGAGCAGACTCCCCCTGCCCCACTCTGTGGCCACTTCCCACCCATGGGTCTCAGCCACTTAAGAGAAAGGAGGTCAGTCAACGGGGCCCTTTGCATCCTCACCAGGCAACCAGGAACCCCCTCCCCAAAGAGCGCCACCGTGGACAAGCAGCCCTCCCCAGCCCAGCATGAGAAAATGGAGCTGATGGGCTGGCTGCCCATCAGTCAGCTATTAATAGCCACCCTGAGTCCTGGCCCAGCCCTGGGACAAGTAAGGGCAACACCACCTCCAGCCCCAGACCTCAGCCCTGGGGACACAGGAACCCCACCCTGGGTGCAGGGTTCTCAAGTCCAATGTGGCAGAGAGTTCCAGAACCTGATGTGGACCCCTGTGGGGCAGAAATGCGGCCTCCAGGTCCCCTCCCCCACCCCAGGGGGCAGATCCAGCTGGCCATCCCTTGCCCACACCAAGCACATCCTCAGAGAGAGGCTGCCCCCACCTCCCCTGTGCCACTCCAGCTGAGCTCTCTCAGATACCTGTCCCCCATGCAGGTTCCTTTAGGGCTCATGCCTTCTTGCCCTGGAGGAGATCAGCTGAGCCACGTGCCCCAGAGTCAGGGAAGCGCCAGCCCAGCCACCACGTGGGAACCTGTCCTCCAGTGGATGGGGGAGGGGGGGCAGGCTCACCTCGGCGGCCTCCTTCTCAAACTTCTCAATGGTCCTCTTGTCGATGCCTCCGCACTTGTAGATGAGGTGGCCCGTCGTGGTGGACTTGCCAGAGTCCACGTGGCCAATGACCACTATGTTGATGTGGGTCTTCTCCTTGCCCATTCTGCCCAGGGTGTGGGGAAGGGCTGGAACGGCCTGGAGCGCTGTGGCTCAGGGTGGGGGGGCTGCTGAGCAGTGATTCTGTGAGTTGGGGTGGAGGCACAGGTGATGGAGAGCCTCAGGGGGAAGCCAGCGAAGACACCGCCCTGCACAGGTTGCAAGCATATCCCTGCCCCCAGATCTGGTCCTTACACCGGGGCTACGTTCCCACATTTGGTGGGGCAGGAAGACCCCTCCTCCCAGCCTGTGCCTGGCCCATTTGGGTCAGGTGGCAAGCCCCAACGGTCCAATCCGCTCTAAATATCTGGGTGTCATGCCCACAGAGCACCCCCCATGGAGGAGGTTAAACCCCCCCCAAGAGACGGAGAAACACCAGGCTGGGTGAACCCCATGACCAGTCAGGAGCCCGGTGATGAGTCACCCTGCCCCACTCTTCAATGCTCTGTCCCCCAATGCTTGCTCCCCACCAGGAGTCCTGGGCCCTATGCTGCACCCCACCCCCACCGGCAGCACTGCCATGATGGAGAAATGGTCAATGCTCCCCACTCCCCTCAAGCAGGGAGGGCGCCATCTTCCCCTCATCCCTGCCAGGCAGGCTGGCACCAGGGGAGACAGGCTGGGCCAGGGCTCCCACAGGGCGGTGGTGCCCAGATCAGGGGCCTAGAATAGCTTGGGCCCTCCTGGACCTGGGCAGGGGGCAGACTGGGGGGCAGGGAAGTGGGGTCCCTGCTCTTCAGAGCAGGGAAGAATCTGGCCCCAGCAGCCAAGCTCAGCAAGTGCCAGACAGAGATGCCTGCAGCCTGGTGGGGGCAGGGGGGCACCCCTCCCCCTCTCCCTCTGGTCAGCACCCAGGGTCACAGCCCCTGCCCCATCCTGGAGGTCAGTGGAGAAACCTAGGCAGCCCAGGAGAGGACAGAGGGCCAGGCAAGGGAAAACAGGCATCAACGGCGCACCCTAGGGTGCAGACACCAGACACTTCCTGGGCCCGCCCGGGTGGGGCCGGGTGGCGAATGCCCCCCAGGTCTCCCTGCCTCCTCCTCCGCAAGGCATCCTCAGCAGCCCCCAGCACTGACGACCCTGCCCCAATCCCGCAGGGCCCCAGCCCGTCCCAAGGTCATGGCTGCAACACGATCGCCGCGCCCAGAAGACCGGTCCCCAGACGCCACCACCGCATAAACAAGAACCACCGCGGTGCCCCCACCTACCCACCCCACCCCTGGTCGCCCGCGGGGACCGACCCCTGGTGCCGGGTCCGGGCGCGTGGGGTGGCTGGCCGAACGAAGCCCGGAGCGAGCAGCGCAGCCTCGCCAGGCGCCAGCCTGGCCCCTCTCTGCCCCAGGTCCGGTCCCCGGAGAGAAAACCCTCTGCGGAAGGCTGGGGGCGGAGGCGGAGCCCCGGAGGCCGAGCGTCCTTACCCAGAGCCGAGGTCTCAGCCAGAGGGACTGGCGGCGCCGGCGCCCGCGGTTTTATCTCTCCAGGAGGGGGTCCACCTATTGACGGAGCGGGCGCAATGCACTGCGCCCCTGCAGTACAGCAATGCGGTACCGGC